GTAGTAGTAGTAGTAGTGGTAGTAGTAGCAATAGTAGCAGCAGTAGCAGCAGTAGTAGTAGTAGTAGTAGTAGCAGTAGCAGTAGTAGTAGTAGTAGTAGTAGTAGTAGTAGTAGTGGTAGTAGTGGTAGTAGTGCTGGTAGTGGTAGTAGTAGTAGTAGTAGTAGTAGTAGTAGTAGTAGTAACAGTAGTAGTAGTAGTAGTAGTAGTAGTAGTAGCACTGGCAGTAGCAGTGGCAGTAGCAGTAGCAGTAGCAGCAGCAGGAGCAGCAGCAGTAGCAGTAGCAGTAGCAGCAGCAGTAGCGGTAGCGGTGGCAGTAGTAGGAGTAGTAACAGCAGTAGTAGTAGTAGTAGTAGTAGTAGTAGCAGCAGCAGCAGTAGTGGAAGTGGCAGTGGTAGTGGTAGTATCTCCTACTACTACTACCACCACCACCACCACCACCACCACCACGACACCACCACTACTACTACTACTACTACTACTACTACTACCACTACTACTACTACTACTACTACTACTACTACTACTACTACTAGTGGTGCTGCTGCTCCTACTCAATTCACATGCACTCAACAGTACAAACTACTAGAGTCTGTGCACTGTGACTTGTCTGCTTTTTCCGCGGCCCAAGGAGTCTCTGCTGCCCGTCCTTCTTCTCGCTGTCATCGTAGTTGTCGCTTGTGAGAAGGTGTCCGAATACCTGGTGTAAACTTTTAACATTTCACGTGCAGCCTCGCAAGACTACCTTGGGCGACAGCCCATGAGTCCGCACGCGAATCAAAAGACCAAGCATCCGCTTCGAGTCTCACACGGTTCTCACTGTAGTAGAATGACATGCTGAGCATGAGGCCATCTCAGGGACGTACATCTGGTGTTCCTTGTGTTCCTGGGTCATTGGGACCGCTGCACCTGCCAAACCTTGCAGCCATCCAAGCCTCCCGGCCTCTACGGGCAATCCGCGGCCGTTGTTCTCGATGCTGATGCAACCGTCTCTTTCGTTGATGGTCACCTGCAAGGTATGGGGTCTCGAGTAGAGCATGAGCAACGCTTCAAGCAACAATTGAAAAATTGCCAGATCAACTTACAGAACCTTGATGTATGTTTGAGAGTTGTCCCTGACGTAGTTGTCTGCAGCATTCACCAGGATCTCGTCGAAGATCTTGTAGAGTCCGGGCCTTGGGTGCACTTCTGCCATCTTTTGCTGTGGAAGCCCAAATGTCTGGGGCCACAACACGTAGTTCAGCTGCTTCTGCTCCACTGACCCATCCTTGTCATTGTAGACCTCAGAAGCTTGGGCCTCCCTTCGCGCATCTGCGCTTACGAAGATCCCGGATCAAAATGCTTTTTCTTTTTGCGATGTTGCTCCATGCCTGCTTAGCAAGCCGGTCCTGCGAATGGTCGTGTCGAACTTCGTGGAGCCCAGTCTAGAAGTCTCGCAGCATTTGAGGCGTGGAACCAAGATACGCTCAAATCACGCTACTGGACTCGTGGTCATTGGCACTTCTGCCTCGTGAAACCAAAACTACATGCAGAACAACAAAGCCTTGTGCACGCTTTTCTTGAAAACAGAGGATGACCCCCGGAGGGCACCATTCATGCTGAAAGCATAATATCAGGGCAGATGAATGTTGCACAAAGCAGATGGCGGTATTGAGAAGAACCCCGCAGAAATCTGACGCCTTGTCGGCGCTATGGCTTGCTAACGGCTCACGCGGAGATTCTGGAATCTTAAGTCTTTGGCCAGACCTTTCAAAATATTCTTGCCAATGGCGCTGCCTCTTGGAGGTCAGCGCACATTCCTTGAAGATGCTGTGTTGTTGAAGTCAGAAGCAATGGTATTCGGATCAATTCGGATCATTACTAGTTGGTGACTGCATGTAGAGTACAGTAGCCAAAATGTGACGAGAAGACAGTACTGCTGGATGCAGTTCGCTAACGAGTGGGCAGGGAGGACCAGCCTCCAGCGCCGCAGTGCCACGGCCGGTCATAAGATGTCCCAGCCACAGAGACGGTTTGCAGCTCAGCGACTGAGCAGACATCAGAGCGTCGGCACTTGCCCAATCAACGGCGGCTCTGCGAAAGCTTCGCGAGGAGGCGAGAAATCACTGCCCCGCCTGCAGCGACGGCTTTCCGCTCAGGAACCTGCGGTCCTAAGCCTCCAACTTCCGAAGACAAGCGGATGCAATCCAACCACTCCCAACCACACACAAAAGGTGTGAAGCCACTGAATAGGCGCGGCTGCAATCTTGTCACTAAGCTAAGCCTCGCAAATTCTGTCTTTCCGAGTCAAACTGCCGAACGACAGGCACGAATCTGTGGGTACAGAGATGCACAAAAGTCGTGGAGAACTCTCCCAGCCCTTGACGTGCCTCATAGCTGAGATCTCCGCCCGGAGCATGCGGACTTCTCTCATCAGCTCCGCCATCTCAAGCTTGGACTCGGACGTTGGACCTGCGCGCACTGCACCTTCACTAGCCAAACATCCCAGGAAGACAAACGAAAGAAAGGGGCTTCGGCGAATTGCAGTGTAGCCCGAGCCTGGAAGGGCGTCTGTGTTTGACCTGACATGCTAGCTGCTTGAGCTTGGAAAGCACAATCGTAAACTGCGGCTCATGCGAGACGTCACAAGCAACACGATCACATGCTTTAGGTCCGCCTTGGCAGAAAGCCAGAGACCCGGCGAATGGCCGTGCCTGTCCCAGCTAAGGAGACGAGCAGCTCTCGCTGATGTGCGAAAGATGCGGGAGCATGAGTTGCCGTGTCTTTGACATGCCCTTGGAACACGCCCTGCCTGAAAGCTCGACTATCGGCGGTGCGGGTGGTTCCTCTTCGGAGGAAGATACGGCGCGCATTCGCGCGACCTTCGAGGGCTTCCGCAAGCTCCGGAAGAAGCACTGAATCATGAAGGCCGCCAAGTGCTTGTAGCCCCTTCCTGCGGTCAGCCTGCACACCCACGCTTTGAACATCTCCAAAGGTTTTAAACTCTCATATCGCCATGTCCCAGCCTATTGCGACAAGCGAGCCGCTGTCGCTCTCGTGAGCCGGCAGTAGACACCCAGAAGGAGGAGAACTCCGGGAAGTCGCACATGGCCCTGACATGGAGACACAACCAGGCTTAGCACAAACCCATCTAGGCGCCTTACCCGGCATTGTTTGAGCATTTCTTAATTTAGATGGGCATGCGGAGCAAACCTTCAACATGGAAGAGCTCCAAAGGCGGGCCTGTCGAGCTCTGACTTTGGCACCACGATGCAACTGCCTCGGGCCTTGCAGCACCCAGAAAGCCGGAAATTCAAGGTGCGGTCTCAGTGGGGCCTCGCAGCGCGCAGAGGTGTCGCGCGGCTGATTGTGCAAGACACCGTACTCCCCAAAATAGGAGCCCTGGCACGTGCGCTCGGTTACGAATGCAGCCGCCGGTCTGTCTCGTGCGGATATGTAGGGACTTTGTCAGCCTGTGAGAAGAGCTGGTAAGGGTACATCACGGGATTCGAGGCCGCACCTGCACACAAATGAAAAGCTCCAGGGCGTTACTTCCTTCATCACTCTGAGTTCCAGGCTGGCTGCCACTAGCCACTGGCCGACGGTGCTGGTCATACTGCTTTGTTCGCGCCCACCTCCTTCGGCTGGAACCTGGATTCAAGACCAGTGACGGGGTCGCTTGAGCGAAGGTCTGGGATCCTGACTGCAATGTGGGCAAACACGCCGCTGGTAACCTCATACACACGCAGCGCAATCATCAAATGCAAGTTTGACAGCTCCATTCTTGTAGCTGCTGCAGTCCCTGTCCAGCCGAGTTCTGCACCAGGAAGAAATGATTGGAAAAATCTGAGCGCTGATAAACCACCTCTTGCTTTTGAAAGCTCTGCCTCAGTGGGATCTGAAATGCTTGCATAACTTTCATAATTTCCTCCTCGAGCAGACTAGGCTAGATGCGGCTGCGGCACCGATGAGAGTTCAATGCTAAGAGCATCGGCAAACGAGGCGGCAGCTCATCCATCCTCCAATGCTGCGAGCTAGTTCGTCTGCATGACGACGACCAGCACGACGAAACTACTGCCACCACCGCCACCACCACCAGCAGAAAGACTACTACTACTTCTGCTACTGCTACTGCTACTACTACTACTACTACTACTACTACTACTACTACTACTACTAGTACTACTACTACTACTACTACTACTACTACTACTACTACTCCTCCTACTGCTACTGCTACT